GTTCAGCGAAAAGCTCAGCCCGCCGCTGCCTCTCTTCCACCGACAACTTCTTGCAAGCCCGGCACGCCGGCTCGTCCGCCAGAGCCTGGTTGGCGTGCGCGGGGCCGAGGCATCCCTCGCACGAGACGTGCAGGTCGGTGGACAGCATGTAGCCGGTGTCGCAGACGGGGCAGATCTTCGCTTTCCCAGGCATCTTGTAGGTAGGAGTAGCGTAGCTATAGCTCTCGAAGGCTGAAGAAAAAAGGGGAGCCGAGCACAGGTCCGTCCTCCCCTTTTATACGGACCTAGGTGGGGCCCACGTGACGTGGGCGTAGACTATTGGCTCTTCAGAATGCGCGAGCGCGCGCGGGGGTACCCATCTGCGATAGCCTTAGAGGGCGGAGCTTACACGAAATAGAACAATGCGGTCCCACGGCCCTCTGCCACCCAAAGTTAAAAACTGTTTTTCTTTTGAGGCCCTCCAGGTGGCGCTCATGGGCCCATGGGTTAAGAATCTCTGTTTTAGAGCTATACTAAAACCATGTGTATTTATTGACATTTTTGGCTATAAAAAGACGTGGACAAGTTTGGAAGGACCATATTTGGATCTTTAGTAGTAAACAAATGGATGTGATCGCTTTTACCTCATTGTTTGCACAGTGCAAAAATAGTGTTGTCTTGGGAAGAAGCCCAAACATATCTGCATCTATTTGACCCAGAGTTGTCACAGTGTCTCAAATCCTTCTGAATTTAGTTTCTGTAATTCTGGAGCTGCGTTTTGACACATGCACGAGAGCTCTCTTTATGACAGCTCCAGTGTAATTCTTCCCTAACAGCATTTTTAAAATCAGTGCAACAGTTAAGCTTTTCTTTATTATGAGAGAAAAACTCATTGAGATAAAAAAAAAAATCACATTTACAGAGTTGCCTGGCTAAAACTGGCAAGAAAAACCAACGTTTCACAAAGCAAACTTTAACAACGTCCTGATGCATCTCAATAATCCAGGTAGAAAAATTAAATAAAAACAAAGAAACAATAAAATCTTGACCTTTTTTAAAATAGTGTAGACCAAAAGATATCTGTTCATATCATATATAACCCTTAATGATGATAACAGTATTAAATACAATAAAATGTTGAAAATCATCTTGAGAAATGATCCATCTTTGCATGCTCAGAATATAATTATTATTATCAGATAAAAGCTTGCTGCATATTCTGCAAGAACTGAGCCAGTTTTTTGTTCAGACCATAACATTACATGTTTCATGAGAAAGCCAAGTGCAGAACTCGTCGTAAGTTCTCGTATAACTGGAACGTTAACATTTCTGCTTTTCTGCATTGAACACGCCCACTTCAAACCTTCTGACCAATCACGCTATAGTTGTTGGACACCACAACTATAAGAAGTTCTGCCTAGATAATGTGTTGAGAACAAGCTTCAAGAAGTCTCCTACTTTCTGCGAGAACAGAAATGGTGTCATTCTTTTCCAGCAGTGCTGCAGTTTTCTCACTTCTGCAGCAGATTTTAGATGTTTGTTAGAATGAATTCCTCTTTCTGTCTGTCTGACACGAGTCCTGTTTGTTTGGGGTGTTTCAAACAGAGCTACGTTGGTACAAGAGCTGGTGGACCGAGGAGAGAAGATGCTGAGGGATGGACTGGAGTCGCCAAACACAAGTTCTTCCAAACTGAACGAGTCCATCTGTGCTCAGCTGTGTGAGGCTGGTCTGGAGGCCTTGGCTAAAGCCACTAGGTACAACATCAGCTTCTATAAATGATTTTCTGTTCATCCAGAGCCAATAGATATACAGGAGAGATTGTAATGACTGCATGTACATACAGTATATGTGACTAAATGACTGATTGTTGTGAAGATGTTACTTTGAAGCACACACTGTTAGTGATGATGGAACAATCTCTTTCCTGTCTTTAGATACTGCAATGAGAAGAGTCCTGAAGCCATACGTATACTGCTCCCTGCTGAGACTACACCTATGGTCATTTCAAGATCAACAACTTACTGTATCAAAAACATGAACAAGTTAAAATGAGTGGAACATTGAATTCTTGTCTCTCCAGGTCTTGGTTACTTCTGAAAACATCACCAAACGTCTTGCTGCTGAAAAAGCATGTGGCTGGCTGTCTGCCAACATCACAGGTAAATAGTTACAGCTCCAGGGAAGAGTGATTTTTGGCTCAGGGAGGTAACTTTTGGGTTAGCTCTATGGTTTATTTTAGCATTACAAACCTGACAGAAAAAACATTCTGTTATATGATCATATAAATAAGTTAAGGCCGGTGCTGGTGAGTTCTTACACTAAGTCGAACTATATAAAAACATAAAAAGAAAATCATGTCCTTTTCTCACTGTGAAGCTCTTGTGAGGCGAGAGTGGAAGAGCAGGTGTGATCGTGTGATGAAGGGTCTCGGCAGCCCTGTGGCTTCAGACTCAGTGGACGTGGACGGGGTTGTGGCTGAACTGGTGAACTCTGAAGAGTCAACGACTCCCAAGAAGAAACAAGGAAGTGATGGACCGCTGTCATGTCCTCCTCTCTGTAAACACAACACTTCAAAACCCTCAGACATCCTCATTGAGATTAAGGTACAACTTATCTTTTGTTAGATTACACTCTTAAGCTGCTACACCACGTGCCCCAGTTGCATCCTTTACATTTGTCTTTCGTTGACTTTTCTATACAAACATTAATAAATTGAATATCTGTCTGACTTAATTTGAAATGCAGGAGTTGCTGAGCATTGCTGTGGGCCCCAGGACTGACGAGGAGCTGCTGACTGGCTCTCAGCTCAAAAGTCTGCTGCAAAGAGTCGAAGACACGCTGGCTTGCAGAAAGGTACAACAAAAGTGTGAACTAAACACCTGTGCTGGATTTTGACTGTATGAATCACACTCTTTGTTTTTTATTTCTTTGTTTAGTTTTTGTTGGTTACGTCGGAGCAGATGCTTCTGAACTGTACTGTGCTTCTGGCCTGCAAGCTGGGTAAGAGACTGTGATTGATTTAAGCCTTTATAACTATAACCTAACATTGCATGTTTAAAAAAAATAGCTGGGTTATTGTGTAAAGGCAGCTGTGGCTCTGTGGTTGAAGCAGCCATCCTCAAACAGGAAAGCTGGAGGTTCAATTTCACCAGTATGTAGTTACGTTTTGAAGTGTCCCTGGGCAAGACATTGATCCCCTCATTAGTTACGTTTACATGGACATAAGTAATCGGATTAAACGGCCATTCGGAATAAAAATGCGTCATGTAAACAGCCCATTCGGATTATTCTGATCTGATTCAGCTCGATCCAAATGAATTTGTAATCAGAATGAGAGGAGTGGTTTATGCCAATTGATAATCCGAATGACGTGCATGTAAACAATTAATCTGATAATCTCATTCTGATTGTGGAAAACTGACCTGACTGCGCATGTCTGCTGACTTTCATCCATCGGTTTCTGCTCTTTTGAGGAGGGAGGGACAGCAGCACTATTTCCACCCGTTTTCTCATTCAATAAAGAAGGAAGACACGCAGCCTGCGTCGCTTCGCAAAAAAGAAAAAAATAAATGTCCGCGCTTCACTTGCAGCTGAACCAGAGAGTGCAGTAACGTCTCCACCTTGTTAAAACCTGTCGCAGGTCCATTCTGTACGATGGAGTAGCTATTAGGGCCACACAACAAGATTTTTAAAAAAAATTTAAATTACAAGAAAAAAGTCATGATATTACGACATTAAAGTCATATAAAAATAAAGTTGTGATATTACGAGATTAAAGTCGTAATTTTATGAGATTAAAGTCGTAATATTACGAGTTTAAAGTTGTATATTCTGACTTTATTCTCATAAAATTACAACTTTAATCTCGTAATAATAATTTTAAAAATCTCGTTGCGTTACCTTGCGTTGTAATTCTGAGCACTCAGAAGCTATTTGTTTATCTTCATGACGAAAGTAGAACATTTTTCTGTGGGTTTTTTTTAGGGAGAGTTAGCAACTGCACATGTCAGTGCTTCTATTCTGAATAAAAGCCTGGTGCATGTAAACACTCGTAATGATCGGATTGTGCCCATGTAAACGATACATTCAGATTATTTAATCCGAATACAATCCGATCTAAGAATTTTGCACATGTAAACATAGCTAGTGTCTTCATTCACACACCAGTATGTGCCCCATTGGTGTATGAATGGTATTCAGCAACGCAATATGGGCCAAGCAAAACAAAAGGCTGTAAAAGTAAGTGTACTTAATAAGAAACAGCTGGAGGAGCATTTTGTAACTAGTTACATTAACTGGCAACAGGTCAGTAAAAGGACTTTGTATAAAAAAATAATTTCAGAGGCTAAATCTCTCATAATTCTGCCAAAAACTGTGTCTAAAAAGAGTGGAATAATTTCAGAATAATAATCCTCAACAGAAAATCAGGAAGACTTTGAACATCCTGTAGTTCATAATACAATTAAGAGTTGAAAAATCTGGTGAAATGTCTGTGCCCAGGTCAAGTCTGAAAGTTAAAACTGTACTGGTGAACTTCATGCTCTTGAATGACGCTGCATGAAAAACATCAGACTCCGTTATGAACATCACTCTGTTGGCTCAGGAAGTAGTTGTCTGTAAGGTTTCTTTCAAACCTTTACGATCAAAAGAGTCATTTCTGCTCCATGGCTCATTAATAAAATGTGTCCAGAGCCGCAAAACAAGCTATGACTGTGATTGTCAACTGCTGGTCTGTGGGCCTTTTCGGGAAAGTTTACGGCCAGGAGGAAACATTATAAAACAAAAAAAATGTATTGTGAGTTTTATTATTTATTATAATTTTTAGACTTCAGGACAAATGAAAAGACCATATTCATGTAAACAAGAAAAATATTTTGTATAGTTTATACCAAATTTCATAAACTGAACTATTCAAGCACATTTTTTTCCTAATTCTTATTATGTAGTCTTTAAATTATAAGTTAATTCTGAAAGATTTAGGAGAAAGATCATAGAAAGAAGTTGGATTAAGTAAACAACAGCCTAGCATGAGCTAACACATTTTACTTTTTGTATTAGTAGAATTGATTTCTATTGAGACTGAGTACAAAAAAACAAACCAAAAAAAAAAATAAAGATTCTGTTATGTTTGGTCTCATTTTTCAAAGGGGGGGCAGGGGGACCAAAGAGCCACATGGCCCCAGAGCCGCAGGTTGCAGACCCCTGAAACAGGCGTTTAAAAGTATAAACAGGTTTTAGAACAACAAATGCTCCCATTCAGACAGTGTTTTTCAGCAGGAAAATGCTCAGCTACTTACCACAGCAGTATAGCTTTGTTGTAGATGAGTTGGACACTAAACTGACCAACTTGCTGTCCAGTTTTAAAGGGGGAGGGTATAATATAAAATCAATTTTTTGAGCTTTATATCATGTTATGATGTCATTCTTGCAACAAAAACATACCCAGAGTGTTGCTTTGACTCATTCATGCATGTTTGAGAAATCCTTGAATTTCCTGTGGTGGACATATGGAGCTGCCTAAACACTTGCTGGTACAAAGCACCGCCTATTTGTACCTAGCTCCTCCCTGGAGCTCAGTTCACAGCTGAGCTCCCGCCCCACAGAACAACCTCCCGAAACATTGTTTGAAACTGTGCTGAAGTGGGAGTGTTAGGAACGGTAGGAGGCTTTTAAAAAGAAAGACCAATTTCAAGGCATTTAGATTTATTTTTATATACACAACATAAATGAACTGAAGGTAACATAGTGTAGGAGGTAGGCTTATGGTGAAATAAGCCTTTCTACATATCTCTCATAACAAGGTTATGAGGAAAGTTTTGCCAAGGTATTTTCTCATTACATTAATATCTTGACTGTGCAAAGTGAAAAGTGACACAATAAGGGAACGTTCAGACAAGTTCAAGTTGATTCATAAAAGACTATGCAATCATTTATTTACACAAATTGAACAGATCATAAGTATACCTGATTGTGGTTTTCCTATAACAAGCTTCAAAGTTAAATGAGATAAAACTCACGTCCGAATTTTAATTCACATCCAACTCAGATTACTCATATATAGAACAGTAAACGTCAGTTCTGATGTTAACAACCAAACAATTTACTGGCACTCTTTAGCTTAAGTTTTGGCATAATAAAGAATAGAGGAAAGGATGAAAATAAGGTTAGTATTTTACTACTCTTATTTTGTTAAGTGTTACAACCAGATCAGCACGTCCTCTCTGCGCTCCGATCTCCACATGACACGTCACCCGGAACACGACAGCGTTACCTGTTGCTGGTTTCTTAACCAAACCCTGGGTAGACACTGTCTCACCTCCGATCAGTCAGGGAACGTTTTGACCGGCCCGCTCACTATTCCTCGGCGAAAAGTGTTATTTTAGGCAACTTTCGTCTGCTTCGATCTTCGCCAGAAAGATTCAAGCTGATGCATCCGGTTCCTCCTTTCAAAATAAAATCTCCCCGCGGGAGTTGAAAACACTTAAAGACTTGTAATCTCAAGTGGGACAGTAGGCGACTTGCCTCTGTCCTGGCCGTTAGATCCCCCTAATTGGCGTATGGGCAAGACCTAACGGGCCAAGCTGGTTTCTCCGAAGAGAAAACTCAGCCTTCCTTCCCAGTTCGGCATCCAGGAAGAAGTGTTCCGTCACACAAAGGCGTCCGTGTTAGTAATAGAAGCGGACGACTTTGGTTCCGCCCTCAGGCTTAGAATGAGTCGGAGAAAAGGAAGAAAGATAAAGACTTTGCCAGCCAGGCGCCAACCAAGGTCAAATTCTGTGGTTGTTTTTTAACAGAATATGATAACCTCTTTTCTAGCTTTTCCTCTGATAGACTCTAAGAGAAATCACTGTAAAACATTTATAATGATTAATTAACATTTCTGTTTAAGTAATCAGTCTGAACCATTTGTTGGTCCAGATAAATGAAAGATTTTCTCAAGAAAAACTCACAATCATATTACTGTGTTTCCAGTAAAATAAAAACAGTGATTTATATAAAAACACAATGAAAACATGGTAATGGTTTTCTCTGTGATTTTTTTTATACCATTACTTAATCTTTTAGGCACGATAAAAGAGTAGAAGTGATTCCACTTTCTTTGTGAGAGTCATTATATGATTTAACAAATGCATAAACATTCTTAGTTAAACAACAAATGAATCACTAACAGAAGAAATTATTCTGTCCATTATCTGATTAAGAGAACTGAGAAATTCTCTTCTAGGTTGAAATGACCTGTCATGGCCTAAATAGTTTGTGACAGAGTTCCTGTCCTCTCGTCAGGCCTGTCCGAGGCCTGCTTCGAGGCAGTAAATCTTGTTTCTTCACTCGAGGTGACCCCTACAATAGTTACTTGATTGTGGTATAGAATTGATCTATCTTCTTGGAAAATACAGAATTCCCCCCTTTAAATAATGGTACACGGTATTAGTTAAAATAGTTGATAGTTGATAAGTTTACTTTGTTTTATTGTGATTAAACTAAGGATGCAGAGGATTTGCAAATGATAGCATTCTGTTTTTTATTTACAATTTGCACAATGTCCCATTTTGTGGTTGTACTTCTTGTTTGTACTTTCTCTCTGATGCAGTTGTTCTTAAATGTTTTCTGCCAGTCTGAAAGTTGTGTGTGTCTGTTTAGCGTCTGGAGAGCTGCCAGTACGGTCTTTGTTGTGGTGTGGCGAACATGATGGGGTCGCTGTGGGTCCCGGCCCAGGGTCAGAGCCTCCTGTGTCTGAACTGCTGGAGCAGCTTGCTGAGCTGTGGAGGAGACGCTGCCATTTGTCCGCCCCACTTCATCAGCTCTTCACCCCTCTCACCATCACTGCTGTGCTGAAGGCCAGTGACATGGAGGTTTGTCCAACACTTGCTGATCTAACTAATGCAGGTGCATTAACACGTTAACAAGACTGACATGTTTTGTTTCCTCTCACCCCTCACTACACGTCCGTAAATCGATAAGGCATCACAGATGAAGGCTGAGAACCAGTCATCTACATCCACCAGACTTTAGCACCTTGTTTGTAAAACTGAATCACAAGCATTGGTGTTTTCTACAGTTGGTTGACTGTGGTGGTCATCGGAATGGGGTTGTGTCTAAGACAGGGGTGTTTCATCCTGGTTCTTTAAAGTGTAGCTGCGTTTCCATTGCAAATGTGCGCAAAACTTTGTCGATATTCTGTTAATGTCGAAAAAAAACACAGTTTCACAACTGTGATGTTTCTATTAAGTAAGAAATGCTATTAAAGTCACGCGTGAATACGTTTGTTCTCGTGATAAGTCATTACAAACATGGCGGTAATGGATGTAAACACACAGCATATTGCTACCACGACACTAGCGTTCATCATCAGAGGAGACGTTGGCGTCTTATCGAGGCTTTCCAGTGACAAGCCCCTTATACTTACACGGTACGCTGTGTTTTTGGGAAATTGTAGTCGTGAGTTTACTACTTTCTTTTACTACTTCGGTGATTTTACTACTATTTCTACTTCCTGTTATCTTCTTCTTCGTCGTCTTTTTCGCCAGTAAAAACAGCCGGTTCTTGATCACGTGACTCTCGTGATGCGAAAAAAATGTTTCCATTGCAGTTTTGCAAAATACACCAATTTCGATACGGCCGAAAAACCACCTCATCTCAGCGCAAAAACTTTTGTCGAAAAATGTAAGATTTTACAAAATTGACGTGTTTTCATTGAGCAACTTCATTTTCATCTTTGATTATATGTTTTAGAAGACAAACTACCTGTTCCTGATTCGAAAGCTGGTGGACAAAGGACTCCTGAGTGAGGAAGAGGTTCTGTCTCACTGGAAGAAACTAACGGACCTGGCCTTGCCAGCAGTGAGTTTTTACCTTTCATCGTGTGTTCTTTTGAAAGTGTCTCTTTTAGTTGTGATTTGATTTCTTTGACCATCCCTGTTATTTTTCACCTCACCAGGAGCTGATAGAGAATTTCCAGCTGCAATCACAGAGTAAAAACCTCCTGGTGCCTCGGACTGAGCTGAAGTGCATCGACACACTGCAGGTTTCACATCAGACAGTAGAGGGCGCAACATGACTACAGTACCAACACCAGAGTCTGATCACCACAGTGTCTTTGTCTACACGCTTTTTTTCTCTCCCACGAAAAAAGACTTAATGTTTTTCTCTATAATCTACCAAAAACTCTTTCAAATCAACTATTTTGTTTTCACTTGTGAATTGACAGTTTTCTCTGCTCATCAGCTGAGGTGCCAGTGACAAACAGAAATCAGAGTTTCTCCTTGTAAACAAGCTGGATCAGAGGATTGTGACGTTTTGGAAAATTTGTTTATAATCAGTGATTTTAATATTCAGTTTAACAGACACAACCATCGACTAAAGCTTAAATTAAACATACAGATTATTTTTATGGATTTCAGACCAGTGAGATAAAAAAAACATTGTCTTTATTAAAGTGTAGCACTTTCACATACTGCCTTTGACCGCATAACTAGTGAGAGCATGTTTAGCCCATAAATGCAGAGCTGCATTTGTGATTGTTTTTGTTCATGTTGAACGACGTTGCAATTTTTAAATAGAAATTTTATGACGATACAAAATGAATTAATGTAATAAAGATTTATTTGGATGTGCATTATCAGGTGTAATTAAGTGTTTATTTTTTTTATGTCTGGTATAATTAAATGAAGAAAAAAATAAACATTTCAGGTTTGTATTTGAAAAACTCATGCGTTCGATTTTGCAGAAATAACAGGAAACTCATTTCCAACATGAGCAAAAAGAAAAAAAAGATCCAAGTCACAACTGTGAATTACTTAGTTTTGACCTATTTTATATGTATGAGATAATTCAATTATGACTTATCTAAAGACTTATCTCAGTATTTTAGGATCTCATTAAGGTTTTAGCAGAAATGAGAATATATTTTCATTTTGACTCAGTCTCATGACTTCATATCTCTCACATGAATAAGTTCCTATCAGAATTCTGATTTTGTAACTTAACTGCGATATGTCCACATACTGTGATTACATAATAGTTTCATATGTCGCAGAAAGTATATATGTGCTCTAGCAGAGTTGAGAAAATGCTTTCCCAAAATTTTAACAGGATTGCACAATAATGAGATATTTCAAAATGTTAACTAGTTTATCTTTGTTGTGATTCTATCTCAAAATTACTGTATATCAGAAATATGAGTTAACTCAAAAAATTACATAGTAGTGTAGGTCATAGCTGATTTATGTCTTCTGTTGTAATTGAGTATCTGTTATTAAATTTCATTTCATTTAGACGGTTTCTAAAGTGACTTAATATGAGTTACCATATTAAAATGATGAATTTCATATTATGATTGAGATGGTCTACCTCAGTGGTTCCCAAACTTTTTATCTTCTGATCCACAAAATATTCATGGCAAAAACTTGTGACCCCAAATATRACTGGTTCTGAGTACACAAACTTTGTTAATAACCCTAAAAACAGAGGATTTTTGACAATCTAAACAGCTTGTACACAAATATAAATACTTATTTTGTGATTTTATAATAGTTATAGGGAAAATATTACATCAGCAATTATTTTATTACCCTTTAAATTGATTTCTGGAGATTATCCAAGGTGCTTCATGACCCATAATTGGGTTCCAAGCCCAACTTTGGGAACCAAAGTGCACTGGTTCCAAAACTTTTCAGCTTTTGACCCACAAATATCAGTAGCAGAGACCTGTGCCCCCAACTATTTTTGGATGATAAACATTTGTTTCTGGTCAACTAAACATGGGCATAGTAACAATATTTATTATTTTACATTTATACATTTTAAATACACTAACCTCACTCCTTTGTAACAACTAAGGCAAAAATACCATTAATTCAGAAAATCTTTTCAGGACCCCACCCTGATGTTTCGGGACCCCACTTTGGGTCCGGACCCCAACTTTGGGAAACACTGGACATACCATCTTACATTTATGACTTGGTATCCCATAATTTTGAGACATTACCTCTTTACTGAGACTAAGCCTTAAATTGAAGATAATTGTATTTTCTAAGTATGGTAGAATTCTAACTAAAATTCTCAGATTAAGGTCAGAATTCTGATAGTATTCTCAGATTATCAAACATTTTTTGCTCCCTGGCCCTCATCCTCCTGAAGAAATCGACTTCCACACAGAGACAGTTTAAACTGTGCTGGTTCAAATCCTAACAGACGTACAGAACAGATTCAAATGTGTCTTAAAGGGAGGAGTGAAGCCGCCTCTCCTCCCTCTCTTCCGGCCGGAGGGAAGCTTCAGACCTCCGCGAGGAGAGTTGGTCGCGCGGGCAGTTCGAGCTGTGACTGCAGGGGTCTCGAGCCGTGGAACAGTTTCCACTCACTTTATCCATGTAAAAAAAAAAAAAAAAACATTTCCTCATTATGTGTGCGGGTGAAACGTTACTTTCTCTCCAGTTCCGACTCAGCGGAGCGGTGAGTTGTGAGTAAAATCCTCAACAAGACATGGCAAATGTTAAAGTTGCCGTTCGTGTCCGTCCTCTGAACTCAAGGTAAGTTTTGTTGTTGTTGTTAGCTTATTGCTTCTACTAGCTAACATGTCAACATTGTTAGTTTTTGAAAAGCTTTTACTTGTTTTTCCTCTCTGTAAAACATTGTGTAGTGCGTGGTGGGGGTTTTGACTGCTGTCAGATGTTGGGAATTTATTTTTTATTTGTTTCTACTTTATCTAATGTACTGTTAATGCTAGCTGGACAGCTTATTTGAAGAAAGAAAGTCTTCAAATGGTGCACATGATTTAATAATTACTGTCAGCTGTGGTTCTGAAAACGAAAAGCTTTAGTTATGTTAAATAATCTCTAACATAATCATAATGGGGTTTATTTTTGTCCCACTCTGAAAGGCTGTAGATACTGTTTTGGCCTCTCAGTCTTTCTGTCTGTTAGCAAAACATCTCATGAACTACTGGATATGAAACTTTCAGAAAGTAATTTATAGATATAGATCTACAACATATTAACTTTAGGAGTCAATTCAAGATGATTGTCAGAACTAATCAACCTCTGCAAGCACAAAACTACAGATGACTCAAGTTACTTTTACAGATATAGAGCTACAAAAAATAATAAAAAAAAGGTAGCAGAGAGTCATCCTCAACCAATGCTCTATAAGCAAACAGATTATGCAAAACCTTTGTTAAAACTTTATTACCTGTTGGAGTCAACTCTGCCCAATATCTCATGACAGACGAGACAATGTTGAGTAAACCGATATGAATTAATTTTAAAGACTAACTTACCCCAAAATTAACCTTTTTAAGCTGATAAACTGTCTAGAATGTGTCTAAAATGTTATATAGTACTGTTTCTGTGCTAATTTTGATGTTTTTGTGTGTATTTGTTCAAATCTGTAATATTTGGTCTAAAAACGTGTTTTTGCTGCTCATATGGGTAGAGCAGTGGTACTGCAGGCTAATTTGCATATTGGTTAACGGCTCTCCACGGTGACGTGTTTCTCCACAGTTTCGTCAGAGCGGCTGTGTTCTGGTATAAAAGCCTCTCTCTAAGACACGCCCCTGCAGCAGTCAGAGGGTGGA